CCTCGACTCAAAGGCATTGTGTTCGATGTTGATGGAACGTTATGGTACGTGATCAGGTGTCTCATTGCTTGTAGCCATCATACTTTCTCATTCTGTATCTTATTCGAATCCCAACTTTGGCACCTCCGGCAAAGCAGAATCACTTCATCCTGAGCGGGTGGTTTTTCAGACAAGAGTCCATGAATTTGTCACACATTTCACATCTTCACAAACTTATTAGATACTCTTACAAGCCGCATATATTTTCTTACGAAATTTGCTGACTAGCATCAAGTGAACCTCAAACGTACATGTTCGGCGAGATGCGTCAAGCCCTCGGCATCACAAAGAAAGTAGACATCCTCGACCATGTCTACTCCCTCCCCACAAAGGAGGAACAAGAGACAGCAATGGAGTCCATTCGCCACATTGAGCGTACGGCCATGGCATCTCAGGTGGCCCAGCCGGGGCTCGTGGAGCTCATGTCCTACCTCGACAGCCGCGGCGTCCGCAAGGGCATCTGCACCCGCAACTTCGACGCGCCCGTGGCACACCTTCTCGGGAAGTTCCTCGAGGGGTCACTTTTCGAGCCTATCGTGACCCGCGACTTTCGTCCGCCTAAGCCAGATCCCGCAGGGATTCTGCATATTGCGCGAAACTGGGGTCTTGTCAAAGAAGCAAGCACCTCGACTGATGCAAAGGAGACAACCGTCGGTGATGGTAGTGAGTTGATCATGGTTGGGGACTCGATCGATGACATGACAGCTGGGCGAAGAGCTGGCGCGGCGACAGTGCTCCTTGCCAACGATGTCAATGTACATTTGGTCGACCACGAGCACACTGACTTGGTGATTCGCCGATTAGACGAGCTGATTCCTATCCTTGAGGATGGTTTTAGCAGCAGGGAGCCAGTTTCATCGACATAAAAGAGACGCAGGAGTAGGGACTAGACGGCAACTTGTCTGCTGTCACTTTCATATCTATTTAGAAAAAGTTCAAGAGAGTATAAGACACCATGGTCTAGACAAGCAGGACGAACTGCTCAATCGTTCGTCTCTGTCTCATTTGCATATCAGCCACCATTGAACCCATCCTCCAAGTTTGCTACATGAAAGGCTTTTTGTGTCGACATATCCCTCCTGTCTTGATCACGATCGATGATGAATGCTCTCCACAAGCTTTCTAAAGACTTAACCGATATGCCTTCCCAGGGTGCGTGAAGTCCCAAAGTTCCCGAAGTCTGCAGGAGAACGTTGTCCATACATGCGCCGAGTGATGCTGATGAAAAGAGGGTAAGAAGCTTCCCTACGATCGAGTCGACACATTCCGCCGCTGGGACTTGGTGCACGAGGCTTCACCCCAGCTTTTCTACGCGTCTAGATGAAGGGGTCTTCTAAGCCGGCGACATTGTCATCACGACGCGTCCTGCGGCTTCTGTTATCGGGCATATCCATCTTCTGAGACGAGTAAAGCGGAGCTGATGCGATTGCCCGTTGAACCCGTTCGTCAGATGCTGGTTGGAAAGCCATCTGGGTAGAAATATGGCAAGTTCTTGGTCCTTGGCTGAAAGATGGATGTGGCTGTTGTGGCGAAATGGCGCGATTTGATGCTCTGTTATGCAGTTGGTGAGCTTGGTGGGGTTGAGGCCCAATGCTATGTGTATAGTCGAAGCCCCCCTGCGACTAGTTGGAGGTGCCGTTGTACACGTCGCTTGCGTAGCTTCTGGGCGCCGGAGGCATGCCAAAGGTAGCTTGTCTCCGGTTCTCTCTTCTCGGATCATCAGGTGTGCCCTTTCGAGGAGGGGCCGGAGGTAGAGGTCCGCCAGGGGCCGGGCGAACAGGCAGGCTAAATGACGCGGCATTGGCGCTCACCGGACCAGCACTATTCGGATACTCGCCAACCTTGGGGATCGAGTTGGTGGTAACAATCCTCTGTCCCATCCCAGGATGGCCACCCGGCTGTCTACTGCTCATTGTGTTGAGCCCATTTCTAGTGGGAGAGCGGTTCGAGTGACTGGCGGGCTCTCTCGGAGAGATAATGCCAGCGCCGGCAATAGGAATTTCTCCTGAAGTAGGCGTGTCCAGGGATCGATCGTTTCCAGAACCCCCGTGATATGTTGGGGAATCATTGGAGTTGAGCAGATCGCGTGTTGCTGGAGAAAGCTGGGGCGCCAAGTGAGACTTGCGATTGTCCCTCTCCATCATACCAACCGCCCACTCTCTCAGGTCTACTGGTGTTCTCTTGGCAGCTTGGACAAACGGATCACGGTCCTGGTGGGAAAAATGTTAGCGGCAAGGTTGATTCATATTTGGGGGATATGCTTACAAAGAGCTCCTGAGGAGTAGGCCGCTCGTCAGGAACCTTGGACAGGCACTTTTGAATCATGTCTTCCAAAATCGAAGGGAAGGCATCGCTCTTGGGTAGCCTGGGCGCAGGCTCGTGGACAATTTGCTGCAAAAGGTCCAGAATGCCGGCGGGTGCGCACTCGCCGTCCGAAAGTTGCTCGCTTGCGTTGAAGGGGAACTTTCCAATGGCCATTTCCATGATGGTTAGACCAAAACTCCACACATCTGACTTGACTGTGTACTTCTCGCCCTGGATTCGCTCGGGTGCCATGTACGTTGAAGTTCCCACAAACGTATCAGCAACAGAGTTAATGAGCTCTCCAGACACGCCAAAATCGCAAAGCTTGATGCTTCCTCTAGAGTTCACCAGAATATTGGATGGCTTAATGTCTCTGTGCATGATGTGATGCTTCGAGTAGAGGTAGGTCAAGCCTCCCAAGGTAGCCACGGCAATCTTTCCGAGAACATCTACTCGAACAGGCCCAAAGACCTTGGATACCCGATCCAAAGCACTGAGAGACACGTTAGCCAAGGTTGCTAAAGTATATCAGACACTCGCTTACCCAACGTCCATGTACTCCATACACATAATGACGTCGTTGTGGTCGTTCAGGAAGGCTCCGTAGAAGTTGACGATATACTCGGATGAGCAGCCGTGCATAATCTGAAGTTCGCGCACGATGCGCTTGCGCATCTCTTTCTTCGCCTCCACGTGGATGACCTGTGTTGGTGAGTACTTGACCTTCCGAGCAGGGCATCAACAATGACCAACCTTTCGTGCCATGACAGTTCCGGTAAGAACATGTTTGACTTTGCTGACAGTGCCTCCGTTTCCTGAACCGAGCTCCTTCAGAATTTCTAGGTCCTCTGGTCGCAGATCCAGCTTGTACTCGATGCCAATCTCCAGCTGTGCCGACTGGTCACCGCCGTCCTTATCGCGGTGACTGCTGGTCTCGGCGGTCGGTGGAGGCTTGGGTGCAGCAGGTGTCAAGGCTAGGCCTTTGACGTTCTTGCGCTTCATAGAGCGAGGCGCGAAAGGGTCAGCCATTTTGGGCTAACAGGTCTCCGTCACAGACTCGTAATCGGAAAACCGAAAGTGAAGATGGATAACGCCAGCAGTTACAACAACGAACAGGTATATGTCATGCCCTGTTCACGCTGTAGTAAATAGCCACACCCTCCAGTGTGTGTGTGGTCTCCTGCGCTGCGATTTAAGCTATGCTTTGCCGTCTCGGATCGTCAGGAATTGTGATTCGCGTGTTGGGTAGCGTTCGCACACGAGTTGGACTGGGTCGAATCGCTTGTGCCGAGGACAGATGACTGGAACCAACGGTCTCGTGTAATCAAATACCAAAGACTGGCTTGTCACTGTAAAGGAATCGAGCAATCGGGGTTGCGTCGGGAAACAGGAGGGGGGAAAGGCGAGCTGCGAAGGTTCGTTAATGCTCGGCGCGCCGAGGTTGAGTTTGATATCGCTTTGGCGGAAGAAGCGATGGACGATATCCGAGGTCGACGACTGCGTGTAAGAAAGGAGAAGGAGGAAGAGGGGCGTAAACGACTCGAAATTTATTGGTGTGATTGTTCTCGATGGCGTCCCCGTTTCGGCCAAGGTGGGGTTGGAAGGTAAGGTAGGGAGGCGACTCCGAGAAATGGCGAGGGGGGAGGGGTAGACGAGCAAGAAATAGGCAACGTGCTCCGTGTCGCTGGATAGGAGTAAATGAGAGGGCCTCGTAGAAGTAAACGAGGTTGCTCTCGATAGGTAAACGGGCGGAACGTGGGTCGCGGGTCAGGATGGTTAAGAAGAGGATGACGGGGAGGGGATGGATGGATGAATGAATGAAAGAGAAAGTAAAGCAATAGAACGATGGACCAGTTTCGACCGCTTGGAGATCAAGACGCAGGTGCAGTAGTCGACCTGAGAGGTGAAGAGTAATAAGTGGTGTCAGATCAAACAAAGGCTCGTTCTGCCACACAAACATCCAAAGTAGAACAGACCTGAGGTGCCCGGGTGTGATGGAGTGGGAGACCCCCCACTGGAGCGCAGTGGTACACCCAGTGGAGGGGGAAAGGTACCTAAGGTGATGGTGCCCAGGTGTCTGAAGTGAGGTACCTTACCTCCACTTACCCGTGGAAGGAGGACGAGGTGGCAGGAACAGCCCACAAGAATCACGGTCCAGTCCGGTCCCGTCCAGTCTAGTGTCGAGACGCAGGTCTCCAGCACACCCCGAGTCAACAAATGAGGGCTCAGAAATGGTTTCGGATCACACAGCGCGGCTATATCTGTTTAAGACCTGAACCTGGGACCAACCGGGGGCGGCATCCCCTCCAGGTTCTAATCCGCGCTCTAGTAGCGAGAGCGACGGTTACTCGTCCGTGAAGTCTTCCAGGCCTTTCCCACCTTGGTCTCGGTCCGTCAGGGCAGGTTTGGTCACTTGTGTCGTTTCCACTGATTTCCTTGCTGGCCAGCCGACGCTACGCTACATCGTTTCTACCTCGACGAGTTGAGACTGGACGTCTCTTTGGCTTCTTGGTTCGTCGGCTTCGTGTTTTTTTAGTGTTGCAGTTCGCTGTTTCTTTCTCTGCGACAATGGCGGATACGATACAAATGGAAGCGCCCCACCAACGTCTGCGGTACTGTATCCGAATAAGGCTACGGATACTTCTCCTTACCAATAACTACACTAGTAAAGCCAAGTACCCAGAGTTCCCAACGTGCCTTAGGTAGCTAAGGTCAGATGCAGAGTGGCTGGGATCAGCAACGGAGAACAACAAGAGGACCCAAACGGGCCACAGCCCAGCACTAGCCCGGGCCAGTGTTTTAGAGACGTCGAGACCCAGCTCCGGAGTACGGGATAGAGATGACTTGACGCACGTTTTAGAGCTACAGTAGCAGCAGAACGTGAGAATCCTCCAGGGGACCTTGCAGTTCCGTGGAGCCATCGACAACTCTGGGTTGGCGACTGACGGGTCTCTGGACTGGTCCGTCCAGGGAAGGACCTCCTATTTTACCTCAACTCAACGTAAGATATTGGATCCGTGATTCTTCCTCGACAGCACAGACTCAAAAGCCCAGAGCCCGCCTCGATCCACCTCACTCTTCCTATGGGGTACCTTACTCTACAAGTAAGTGTGTATACGAGCCGGGGACCAACGGCTATCCTTTCCTCTACGCTTCAGCTTCCCATCAACATTAGCAGGTCGTTAGCGAACAAGGCGAAAAGACAATTTCGACTATGACTTGGAGAGGGCTACTGGTACCTTACTCTCTGGCCTGCCGCTGTATCCGCCTGCATTTGACACCATCGGTCCCAACCATTGCCATAACATGGCAGAGGCAACGCATTAAAAAATAAGCAGTACGGGAATGCAGATCTACACGCCAATCAAAGACATCTAACTGCCTCTAAATTTATCTACTCCCATCCGCTCCTACGACTATCTGTACCATCCTTCCATGATGGCCCACAATTCATCCATTCACCATTTAAGAAGCCGTCAAGTCCAATTGCATCGCTGTCTCCGTCACCCTTTCAACCCGTCACTCAAGTCCATGACAGGGGCTAGGAGTCGTCTGGGCACTTCATATAAGCCGGTGGGCTGCCACGCTGGGTGTGATGGAGGCAACTCGAGCCAACGGTGGTGAGGCATTGAAGAAATCCCACTTTGTTCTGTACCAGGGCCTTGAGTCGCAAAATGGCCTGGTGTCTCAGTGTCTTGCCGCCCGCCCACATCGCCCCTCCCACACCTACCAACAAGCCTCGAATGTCTGAGTGTCTGGTCAGTTCTGCTTCCCGACAGGCTCCAGATGGCTGCCCAAGCGCGGGATTGTGCCATGATGTGCTGCATGATGGGTTCATGGCTTGCTAATTTGTCGCTGGCTGCAAAATGCGCTTCCCTGCGGCGCCAACGTCTGTGTCATGTTGACAGACGAAGATGAAAAATCTTGATAGGATCCTCCTTCGCGATTTCCTGTTTATGCTGCTTATGCCAATTGTGATTTCGGAATAGTATCATAGAAGTAATATCGCCTAGGGTTGACAGATTCTTTGCATCCCTTCTGCCTCCGCACAACTAGCAAGTGACTGGAGTTTGTTGCATTCGTGAAGGAACAGCTGGAAAGAGTAGGACTACGCTGTTCGCAGGCAAGCCAATTCAAGCCGTTTAAGCCAAACGCTTACAGACTAACACAGGTTGCTGTCTACCCCTAGTATCGATCATTGCAAGAAGCCTCCCATTATTCAGCTGAGCTACTTGAGCTGGCGGCTATCCCAAGAAATAGTCACTGAAGCTTCATGATTCTCTAAAGGATGCTTGAGTTGATGCAGTGACTCTTCTCAACGAGACCGTGTCGGGTGCATAGAGTCATGAACGGCGACTTAGAATAGCGGGCTGTGGTTAAATCAGCCTAGGGTAGCTAGTCTTCGGAAATCTGGGATTCACATCGCGAGCAGGGGACGCAGAATCACTTTGCACGTGGTATCGCAGGTGGCATACCTTCCTTACCTTACGGAGTACAGAGTACCTAAGGTACAAGGATACCTATATCGCGGATAAACCGATAAGATAAGCGGCTCTGTCCAGAAGCCGGAATAACTATCACTAGCCACAGTGGACCTTCCGGGTCCGAGGCTGAAGGTCGGGTCAGCGAACGAGGCGCGCTGGGAGAGCCATTGGAGGGAGGTCCAAGCTTTCAATTATTCCAAGTGCAGGCGTGCTGGAGAGGCAACTGAAAATTGCCTGGTCAAGGACGCCTTCCTTCAATTCTTGCCCACGTTCTTTCCTCCGAATTTGAGCGAACCCATCTCGACATCGATTCATTAGTCCGGGCACGATACTTTCTTTTCTAATCAAATTCTAAGTCTAGTCGAGCTCTCTCAACGATCGCAACGCGCCTACCAGGTATCATCCACCGACGAAGGCGTCACTTTCACCACGCGCTGCGACTTTGATTCTAGGCAACTTCAAGATGAGCGCCTCAATGCGGGATTTCGTCGACGGCGAGGCCGAGCTCGATGATGAGGATGATGAGTCTCTGGATGAGGATGCCGACCCTAGATCTGCGCGCAGAAGAAATGCGGCCCCCGAGGACTCCTCCGAAGAGGAAGAGGACGATGAAGATGAGGAGGAAGCGCGCAAAGTAGGCGATGGATATTCAAATCACGTTGACGACTGACTAATTTTTTCTCCCACTCAGATTCGCGAGGGATTTATTGTCGACGAAGATGAGGAAGAGGAAGTAGGTGAGGACGAAGATGCTCACGAGCGAAAGCGGAAGCGGGAGCATCGCGACAGAGAAGAAGAAGAGCGGCTGGACGAGGATGACCTGGAACTTATCGGGGAACAAATCGAGCGCAGAGCACCAACACAGGTACGATGTCCCCATGGACTATCGCTACTGGATGTACTAACGTGTCTGTAGCCTAAATTCAAGCGTCTCAAACGAGGACATCGGGACGAGGACGACCGTGGCCCCGAGCGACGCGGCTTAGAGGACATGTTCTCCGATGACGACGAGGAAGCCAACGATCAAAAACCCTACGGCCGATCGAACTACCGCCCCCAGGCCGACGAGTTCGAAGACTTCATTGAGGAAGATTATCCGGAGGATGAGGACGAACGAGCGCGTCAGCAGGAAGATGCCGAAGTCGCTCGGCCCCGCGACAGAGGAGTTGGAGGCGTCGTCGACACTTCCGGCCTCGATAAAGACGCCTTGGAGGACATGGAGGCTATCTTCGGTAATGGCGAGGATTACGAGTGGGCCCTCCAAATGGAAGAAGAGCAAGAAGACCGCGAACGCGAAGAGCAGGTCATTGAGCTCAAGGACGTGTTTGAGCCTTCACAGTTGAAGGAGAAGCTCTTGACCGATGAGGACAACCAGATCCGATTCACAGACGAGCCTGAAAGATTCCAGCTGGATCGAAAACCGTTCAAGCACTTGCAAATTAGCGCTGAGCAGTTCAAGGAAGAGGCCCGGTGGATTGCGGGTTTGATGTGGCCCAAAAAGCTGCTCCAGTCCGAACTACACGGACCCTTCACCAAGGCGATTGGCAAGGTCCTCGAGTTCTTTGTCGTTGACGACGTTGAGGTCCCCTACGTCTTTCAGCATCGCAAGGATTACCTGATCCATGCCAAGAAGACCAAAAATCCCGACCATCGTGACGACCCTGACGCCCCTGAATGGATTGTCAGCGCAGACAAGCTTCTTACTCAGGACGACTTATGGCGAATTTTGGAGCTTGATATCAAGTTCCGCTCACTGATCGAAAAGCGGAACGCTCTGGAAAAGACGCTCGAGAACCTCAAATCTGCTGCTAGCATCAAGGACGATGTACTCGAAGATATGATTCCCCAAGCTGCGACCATGGAAGAACTGCAAGATTTGCAGGACTACCTCCACTTCCAGTACACCAACGAGCTCAAGGATTTGTCTTTCATGAACGGCAATGGCAATCAGATGAAGCGCCCAGGCTCCAAATCAAATCTTGTCGACAGAGTCAGGAGGAGCAAGGCTATCGGTTTTGTCCGTGCCTACGGTATCACACCGGATCGGTTCGCCCAAAATACTCTTCGCGAGGGCAACAAGGTTTGGGCCGACGACGACAGCCAGCTTCCTGACGACCTCGCCGACTCCCTCACGGATGAAGAATTCCAAACCGGTGATACTGTGATGTACGCTGCTCGCCAGATGTACGCAGAGGAGCTGTTTGTCAACCCTCGTATGCGGAAGCACTTCAGAGTCAACTTCTATCAGATGGGCGAAATCAGCTGTCGCCGGACAGAGAAGGGTTTGAAGAAGATTGACGAGTCACATCCATTCTACGAGGTCAAGTATCTCATCAACCAGACAATCGCCGACGTTGCTCGCCAGCCAGATCTGTACCTCAAGATGATGAAGGCCGAGGAAGAGGGTCTCATCGAGGTTAAGCTGACATTGGAGAACGACGAGGGCTTTAAGCGCTCGTTGCGCCAAGAGTTCATTTCAGACAACTACAGTGAACTCGCGGATCGATGGAACGATGAACGTCAGAAGGTACTTGATCTCATTGTTCCACGGCTTTCTAAGATCATTGCCAAGGGCGTCAAGGAGTCTCTCCGGACTGCATGCCAAGAAGAAGTTCTCAAAGCCTGCCGCGAAGAATATTCAAAGAGGCTCGATCAAGCGCCATACAAGCCCAAGGGTATGATTCTTGGCACACTGCCCCGAATCATCACTCTGTCCAACGGAATGGCCGATCCAGCTCGCGACCCTACACTCTGGGCTTCTGTTGAGGAAGATGGCCGGGTCATTGAGCAGGGAAAGCTGGGCAATCTAGCTCGTGACGAGCGAGCTCGCGAAGAATTTGTCGAGATCGTCAACAGGCGCCGCCCGGATGCCATCGGTATCAGCGGATGGTCTGCAGATACGCAGAAGCTTGTGAGAGACCTGGAAAGTCTAATCAGCGAGAAGGGCTTGATGGGGCCTGAGTTCGATGACCCTGAGCTTGGGGAGTATCGCACTGAGCCTCTCGAAGTCATCGTGGTAAATGACGAGGTGGCTCGTCTCTACAAGGACAGCCCTAGAGCAGTCGCAGAGCACCCTACTCTCAGTTCACTCACAAGATATTGCATCGCTTTGGCGCACTACATGCAAAACCCACTCAAGGAGTATGCGGCTCTTGGTAAAGACATTGCATCGCTAGCTTTCCATCCTTGTCAAAACCTGCTGCCCCAAGAGAAGCTGCTCAAGCACCTCGAGTCCGCGATGGTTGACATGGTTAATCTGTGTGGTGTCAACATCAACGAGGCCGTGGGCGATTCTTACACAGCGAACCTCCTGCCCTATGTCGCCGGTCTCGGCCCCCGAAAGGCCACAAGCGTCATCAAAGCCATCAACGCGAACGGAGGAGCTGTCGGCAGCAGAGATGAGCTGGTTGGCGACCCCGACAGTGGCAAGCTGCCAGTTGTGGGCCCAAGAGTCTGGAACAACTGCGCCAGTTTCCTCTTCATCGACTACGATGCGACCAACCCCGCCTCAGACCCCCTTGACAACACCCGTGTTCACCCAGAGGACTACGAGCTGGGTCGCAAGATGGCAGCTGACGCCCTTGAACTTGATGAAGAGGACGTCAAAGCGGAGACGGATCACAATGGACCTGGCGCTATTGTTCGAAAACTCTTTAAGGAAGACGAACAAGAGAAGGTTAATGAGCTTATCCTCGAGGAATATGCGGAGCAACTTGAGCGTAACTACAGCCAGCGGAAGCGCGCTACGCTCGAGACAATTCGGGCTGAACTTCAAGCCCCCTACGAGGAGTTGCGCAGAAACTTCTCAAGCCTCGGTCCGAACGAGATTTTCACAATGTTCACTGGCGAGACCAAGGACACACTCGCTCAGGGCATGATCATCCCCGTCAACATCCGAGTGGTGAAAGATGACTTCGCCATAGTGAAGCTTGACTGCGGCATAGAGGGCCGCATCGAGTCGCACGACGGCCCTGATGGTGTTCGCGTCAGAGGTCTTCTCACGACCGGGCAGACGGTGCAAGCCAAGGTTCTTGAGGTAAACTACAAGGACTTCTTGGCCAAGCTTTCTGCAAGAGAAGCCGAAGTCAAACGCCCTTACAAGCGTCAATTATACCATGGCCATGGCCAGTGGGACGAGAGACTGGAGGCAGCTGATAAAGAAGAACTCCGCGAAAAGGACAAGACCACTGGACGCACCCAGAGAGTCATCAAGCACCCGCTGTTCAAGCCGTTCAACGGATTGGAAGCTGAGCAATGGCTTGGTACCCAAGCCGCCGGAGAGGTCATCATTCGACCTTCCTCAAAAGGTAACGACCATCTGGCTATCACCTGGAAGGTCGCCGATGGTGTTTTC